CCGCTCCTCCGTCCTGCGCCTGGCGTAACCGCCGTGCGCCATTTTCTCCGGCGAACTCGAGCTCGGATCGATGAGAGAGAGAGAGAGAGCCAAATTAGGGTTCGCTTGATGGCGGAGAGAGATTTGGGCTTAATTAGGCTGGGCCCAGGTTTTATATTTTTTACTTGAACCCGGCCCGATTCTTTGCGGTCGGATGTTGTTAACGGTCAACTAGATACCGGACAAATTTTCAAAACAAACCCTTTTGGGTTTTTATTTGCAAAAAACGACCTATTTCGAAAAAAATTACAAAAACCGACCTGTTTTCAGCCCAGCACTGAAAACAGGTAGGTTTTTGTTAAAAATTTTCCGAAACTTCACGGGAGTTCAACTTCCGTGAAGTTTAATGTATTTTTAAACTTCACGGGAGTTGAACTCCCGTGAAGTTTAATTTACACATAAATCTTCACGGGAGTTGAACTCCCGTGAAGATTTATGCCCAGATGCAACGCCAGGTTGCTCTCTGGAAGTTGGGACTGCAACTTCACGAGAGCAGCTCCGGCGATATCTGCTCTCGGGAAGTTGGGACTGCAACTTCACGGGAGTTCAACCCCCGTGAAGTTGTGAGCCTATATAAGGCCCGCGTGACCCAGCCCCAGCCCGACCCCATTCCTACAAACCCTAACTCCCTCGTTCCCAATCGCCGCCGCCCCAGCTCCCGACCTCCGCCGCCCAGTTCGTTCCTGACCGCCGCCGCCCAGCTTCCGACCGTCGCCGCCTCCTTTCCGTTCGCAGCCGTCAGATCTCAGTCTCAAGGAAAAAACAGGTAAATTCTTTTTAAAAAAATTTATACTCTCTAATTTTTGTATACTCTCACTATTTGATTGTGATTTCATATAAAAATCTAGATTTTAGAATTTAATTGTGAATTATTTATGAATTTTGCGAAGAAATGTGAAAATTAGAGGGAAAATTATCAATAAATGTGAAAAATATAGGGGAAATTATCAATAATTTTGTGAAATTTGTGAAGAATTAGTGTGGAAATTATCAATAATTTTGTGGAATTAGTGTGGAAATTTCACAATTACTTACGAATTTTGTGAGGAAATGTGAAAATTAGAGGGAAAATTATCAATAAATGTGAAAATTAGAGGGGAAATTATCAATAATTTTGTGAAATTTGTGAAGAATTAGTGTGAAAATTATCAATAATTTTGTGGAATTAGTGGATTATTTACGAATTTTGTGAAGAAAAATCAAATAATTTTGTGCATTTAGAGGTGAAATTATGAATTAAATAATTTTGTGCATTTAGAGGTGAAATTATGAATTAATGTGGAAATTAGAGTTACTACCTAAATGTAAAAATTAGTAACAATCAATATTTAAGTTACTACCTAAATGTAAAAATTAGTAACAATCAATATTTATTTTGCTTTTCGTGTAATATTGATCTTAAATTTTTCACTCTTCAGAGTTAACGATGAACGATCGAATCGTAATTCTTTATTCTTATGATGGGAAGATTAATTACCTCGAAAATAATATGCCTGTTTATGAAGGAGGCGCGACGAGACCGTTGTTCATAACAAAATCGTGTACTTTCGATGAGTTGGTTAATGAATTACACAAACTTACATTAACTAACTCACGTGAGTAACACCTCAGTGCGGTTTGTAATTATCCTGTTGTGGGGAACAGAACAAGTGGCATTCAAATATCAAGTGACTACGATATGGGTCTCATTCATGTCTTACACGACGAAAAGCGTTTGATCGAATTGTTCATTGAAAAATATCAGAGGGATTTGGGCAAATCGTTGAACTCCCAATGAATGTATTCCCGCATGTTGGAGGATCCTGAAGTTGATTTTGTAGGCTTTTTATCTCCTCAACAAGATGAATGTTGGACACAATCACAATACATGAGCGGTCCTTCGTTCGTGGGCACTTCGAATACTTTCGATACTAACACAGGAATTCAAGAAGATAATGCAAGTGTTGAATCTGAGAATGATGATGAAGAGGAGGGATTACAAATTAATAGCATGACCTTGATAGATCGTGATAACGGGGAAAACCAACACATCGACGGATGTTCTGTTAATAATGAGTATGTCGTCTTAGAGGATCCGCCGCCCGATGAACTTCAAGGAGATGAATGGATTGATAACTCCGTGATGGAAAGTGTTCCTATTAGCACTAATAGCGGTGTTGATACACAGGCCAAGGACTTCTCATTCATGAAGAAAGATCTTTACGAGAGTAAGGAGAAATTGATCCATGCTATTCGCACGTATTCCATTGCAAAAAATGTGAAGTTCAGGCCAACAAAAAATAATACTACAAGCTATAATGAAAAATGTGAAGTTCAGGCCAACAAAAAATAATACTACAAGCTATAATGTGGTTTGTTTCTATCGCAAAGATGATGATGTCGAAGATAAGCTATAATGTGGTTTGTTTCTATCGCAAAGATGATGATGTCGAAGATAATAGTGGACACCACGACGGCACTGCGAGGTGTCTGTGGAAGCTTAATTCACACTCGGTGTAAGAGTAGGCGTGCAATTCAAAATCACGGCATACAATGGACTCCACACTTGTAGCAATCCTCGATTAGAGATGAATAACAAGAATGCGTCCTCTTCTTTTACATATCGATTGATTTTACCGCATCTGAGGGAGGATCTTGATCTAAGGCCGAAAGATATCCGTTTTTTAGTGCATAAAGCCACCAACTTTGATGTATCATATCACAAGTGTTGGAATGCTAGGAGGAAGGCGATGATAAAAATATTTGGGGATTGGGATAAATCGTATGAGATCTTACCTCATTATCTTGAAGCACTCAAAAGAGAAAATCTGGGGACTGTCTACGAAGTATCTTCGGACCCGGTTGATGGCGGAGAAAGGCGGTTCACCAGTGTATTTTGGGCATTTGGGCCCTGTATTGAGGGGTTTCGATATTGACGTCCTCTTCTTAGCATTGATGGAACCCACTTATATGGTAAATACAAAGGCGTTTTGCTTGTTGCAACCGGAGTTGACACGGATGGCGGGTTGTTTCCTTTAGCATTTGTTGTGGTTGATGTTGAAAACACAGAGAATTGGGCTTGGTTTTTTACATGCATTAGATATCACATCCCTAGTGTGGGGACGCGGGCGATTACATTCATATCCGATAGGATGAAAGGAATTCCAAGAGCACTCCAACGACATTTTCCGCCACCACATGCACATCGCTATTGCTTGCGACATATTAGAGACAACTTCAAGAAGAAGTATGGAAATGCTCAGGTTCAAGACTTACTTTGGCAAGCCGGTTGTGCAACAGAAAAATATGTTTATGAACAAATACGAGAGAGGATTAAGTTCATTTCACGAGCTGCACATGATTGGATCGAAACTAGTTTGGGTCCAAACAATGTTGATAAGTGGGCTTTATGTGAGGATGGTGGCAAACGGTTCTGTATGATGACTATGAACGCGTCTGAGAGCTTCAATGGCGTGCTCAGGGGAGCACGCGGCATGCCAATACAGGCACTAGTTGCTAAAACGTTTTACAGGCTTAATAAATTATTTCTACGACGTCGAGAACTTGGTGAAAATATCCGCTCAGAGCTAACACCAAAGGTTTATGAAATGATAGCGGCTCAGATTGTACAAGCTCGGTCCTTTCAGGTCGTACGATACAGTTTTAATGAATGGGAGGTTATCGAGGGAATAACCCATAGAGAAAGTTGCTCTTACAAAGTCAATATGTTGGTGGATCACACTAGTACATGCACTTACAATGTACCGCAACTACAATGTATTCCTTGTTCACATGTTGTAGTAGCTTACTCCGATCTACAGGGTGGTGCTCGAATTTCACATTATGAATTTGTCGCGACTTGGTATTCTGCATACAACTATCAACAAACGTACAAAGAGTGTTTTCGTCCACCGTACGATAGTCGACATTAGACACAAGACGGGCCACAGATATTACCTCCCTTGTATAAAAGATCGGCAGGGCGCCCTCGTACCGTGCGTATTAGAAATAGTATGGATGATGGACGTGAAGGAGCTAGGAGGAGAAATAAGTGCAATAGATATGATCAGCCGAGTCACAACAAAAATAGGTGTCCAGTTAGTATTAGGCGTTGATTTGTATTATGTAGCGTTTTGCACTATGTCAGATCCTGTATGACAATCGTATGATACTCGTATTCGTATTTGTAATATGTTCTGTATGACTTGCATATTCGTATTTGTAATATGTTCCCGATCAAGCTGTGTTCATTTCATACATGCATTTGTATTATGTAGTGTCTCATATTTCTGTATATATGCTCATATTTTAATCACAGGTCTTTTCGTAATTGATCCGGGACCTTCGTTTCCCGACGTTTTGTACCTTTAGGCGAGTCATTGTTCAGACCATATTGGTTCGGGACAGGTAATACGATTAAATTTTATATATATTTCTTCGATTTATTAAATTATACATATACTTAAACATTTTTTGTTTTATGTGCAGTCCGTACCAGACATCACGATGGTCGAGCATTCCCAGAGTCATTCGGCTTGGGTCATTAAGGATGAGAGGGTACTAGATCTGATCGCTCAGGCCGGATTTCGGGAGTGTTCGATGATTCGATATATTAGGCTTGATTGGCCGCTCATCACTGTACTTATTGAGAGGTGGAGGCCAGAGACCAACACCTTTCACATGCATATAGGGGAGTGCAACATCACCTTACAGGACGTGGCCGTCATACTTGGACTCCGGATCGATGGACCGGCAGTTACGGGCACCGATGATCATAGTTGGCCGGAGGTATGTGCTAGGCTTCTTGGTCAGGTTCCCGACTTGAGGAGTGGTGCGATGAAGCTATCGTGGCTTCGTTAGACATTTCAGAGTGATATACTAGAGGATGCCCCTATTGAGACGCTCCAGTTTCATGCTCGTGCGTACATATTGCACATGATAGGGTGCGTACTATTTCCTGATGCGAGCAAGACACTCGTACATGCATGATGGCTACCACTCCTAGAGGATTTCGGTGTATGCGGCGCACTATCGTGGGGCAGTGCGGTGTTGGCATACTTATATCGAGAATTAGGTAGGGTATCCCTGATGCAGAATAAAGAATTCAAGGGATGTTGTACGTTGATACAGATTTGGTCATGGGAGCGCATTCATATTGGACGACCCACTTTACTTATGCACTGTGACTTGGAGGGGCAGTATCCTTTGGCATACAGGTATAACTATACACACATATTTCATTCGTAATGAATTTGTACTTATATATTCGCTATTCTGCATATAGGTATAACGTGCGATACGCTCAGTACAAATCAACGACGCGTCACCGTCAGTTTTACCGAAATGAGCTTGATGTCCTCCAACGCGAACAGGTAAATATAAAACTCAAGAAGTATGAATATTATAGTTTTTCTGTGTGATACTGATAAATGTTTTATTTTATTTTAGTTCAAGTGGAGACCTTATACACCGCCGGAGCTTGATATGCATTCTCTTGCACCTATCTGCCGGGATAGTCCCGACTTGTGGAGATATACACCGCCGGAGCTTGATATGCATTCTCTTGCACCTATCTGCCGGGATAGTCCCGACTTGTGGAGAGCCAGAGTTCCATTGATCTGTTGGGAGATC